TAATCTCCATGTGTTCGTGTGGTGATTTTGGCTTCTTCGGGGGTTGGACTGGCCTGGGAGCCTGGACCAGAAAAGATGCTGGTCCAGGGCAGCTGGTGGCTGTGCCACCCAGAGATTCAAAGACAGATGGGGTGGGAAGAGTCCCCAAGGACTCCTGGGGACTGCACTGAGGAGCTGGGTTGGTCTGGATGCAAAGGGTCAGGAAGAGGAAAGGTCAGCTCCCAAGTCCCAGAAAGAGGATGGCAGGTCGTGCAGGCCCAGGGAAGCACGGGAGTTGAGGGCGGGGCCAGGTCCAGAAGCATTGCTCCTGGGACACAGAGAAGGCGCTAAGTTGGTTTGGATGAAAGGGGTCAGGAAGTAGTATTGGTTCCCCAGGTGTCTGGGGCCCCAAGACAAGGAATGGGGTAAGGCTCAAACTTGGAGGAGAGAATGGTGGGGGAGATGGGAGGGTGAATGGGGCTGGGGAGTCAAGGCATCGAGGGCATGATGGATTTACCCTGGTGAGAGGCCTGTGGGTGGGAGAGAGGCCTGCTGCAGGTGGTGCACGCTCAGGGAAGCAGGGGGAGGTGGGTGCGGGGCCAGGCCCAGAAGCAGTGCTCCTGGGGCCCAGAGAAGGCACTAAGTTGATGGCTTTCTCCTTTTTACCCCTTTACTTCTCTTCTCATTTCTTATTGGCTTACTCAGTGTTTCACTTCCTTCTTCATTTTGGCCTAAGTATTATTCAATATTTCCAACTCTCCTGAATTCATTCAGAAGTTTATCCCTATCTTCCTTCAGTTCTTTGATTTCTTTCTCCTTTAAATTCACTGCATTCTTTTATCATGTTTATAATTGTCCCTTTTATTTCTAAGTCCTGTGTTATCTCTAGGGGATCCCATTGTACTCCTTTACAGGACTGTTGGTACTTGGTGGGGTATATTATTTGGGTTTTTCATATTATTTTTTCACTGTGTCTTTGACATGTGTATTTCTTTTGTAGTTTCTGATTCTTGTGTGGGACTCAATCCCTCCTTTGTTTAATTTAGGTCTGCTTCTTCTTGTAAACTTTATGTGCTTTTCTGATTTACTTGGTGGCATGAAAAGCTGGTTGGTCTAGGCTTCAGATTCTCTCTTTTGATTTTATATTGGAGGGGCAAATTGCTTTCATCTTGCTGCTCAGGAATTCCCACAGAGGCCCAATTTGAATGAGAGTCATATGCTCTCAGTCTTTCTCCTAAGGTCTGGATCCCTCCAGGAAAGATGCTGGCCTCAGGAATTTGGGGACTGGGCTGACCTAGAAAAAGGGCCCAGGAAAGATGCTGGACCCTGGAAGCTGGTGGCTGTTCTGCCCAGGGATACAAAGGAAGGTGGTTGCAGGAACAGGCCCCACAGGCTCCATGGAACTACAGGGAGGAATTGGGTTGATCTGGATTCAAAAGATCCAGAAACAGTGAGGAGTGTGAGCCAAAAGGTCAGTCCAGAAGTCTGGAGCACTAAGACAAGAAATGGGCCAGTTCCCAGTCTAGGAGGAGAGATGGGCTAGGGGAGTTGGGGAAGGTGAATGAGGCTAGGGGAGTCAAGGTGCCTCATTATTTTTTAATAAGAGATAAAATGTGCAGTGAAGACATCAACCATGAATGATCCAAATCCCATAGCTTTAAAATATATTAATCAAACAAATAAGAGAAAAGATGACATTTTTAAAAGACATCAACACAAAACACAGGGCATGATGGAAAGATGGTTATTCAGGTTTGACTCAGTGACCTCAAGCAACAGGCAGCATCCTGGGGGCTTGTTTCCTCCCCAAGGTTTTTTCTACTTCTACACCACATGCTAACATGTTGGGCATTTATTTATTTTCATATTCTTTGCTTTTTGAGATACGGTCTTAGAATGAAAGGCAGTACAGCCTTGGACTCCTGCCCTCCTGTTTTAGTCACCAGACTGTTGCTATTATAGGTCCAGCCTGAGCTTCTGGTGGGACCACACCTGGATTTCACTTGAATTTTTCTAATGTTGACCTTTGATGTTACAAGCAAAGGAATGAAGCAATTAGGCACAAAACAAAGGGTGGAATGTACTTCCTCAGTCCTCCCTTAACCAAGATACTGATGTCTTCTTCATTTATTTCATTTTCTCCCAAATGCCACCTCCTGTCTGGTGGCATCTCGGAGGACAGATTTCTTTGCGTATCAGATGTCTAGCATGGTGTCTCTTCATTTCTTACAGTGGCTATAACCCAAAACACCTGTGAGATGAATTCTAGCAAAGCCACAAATAATGGGATTTCTCACCATTGCTGCTTTAGATGCAGTGTTACAGTCATTTGGAAGATGGTTTGTGATTTTGCACAAAATCAAATATGTATGTAAAATTATTGTATGGAAAATGTGCATCCACGCAAAAACTTGCCCATGGATGTTTATAAACATGTTTTAAACAGCAATGTTTGTAATGCTGCTTATAAACAGCAATGCTTTTCAGCAGATGAATAAACTATATCATATCTACAGACTGAATTATTAATTAGTATTAAAAGAAATTACCATAAAGCCATGAGAATCCATGAAGGAAATTTATGTGCATATTACCATGTAAAAGAAGCCAATCCAAAAATCTTACTGTGATTCCAACTACACGAAATTTTGGAAAACATAAAACTATGAATATATTAAAATAAAAAGTGGTTACCAGAAACTCAGGAAGGGAAGCATGAATTGACAGAGTGCAGATATTTCAAGAATGAAAATATTCTCTATGATACTGAAATGGTGGTTTTATCCCATATTTACCCAAACACATGGAATACAATATCAAGATCAAACTCTAATATAAATCATAAGCTTAGGTAACAAAGATGTGTCAGTTAGGCCATAAATTATCACAAAGCACAATTCTTCAGGGGCATGTTGATAAAGACACTGTGCATGGTGTGGCTGCTGGATGTGGAAAATCTCTAGAGATTATCTCCATTTTTCTATGAACCTAAAAATGCAAATAAACATATGACATGAAAACAGAAGGAAGAAGATTGGGAGGTGGAGAATGATTACCTGCAGGGGGACAGGGGACTGGTTGGTTTGTAAAAGGAAAGAACTGACTCCTGACAATTGTTCTCTGACCTGTACTCATATGCAGTGAGAGTGCACACAAATACATATACTTATATATAAACATTAACATCCTAGCTACTCATAAATTTGCAGTTCAGTTAGGTGACCATTATTATCATTGATCTCTAGAAATTTCTCATCTTTCATAGTGGAATCTATAACCATTTTCCTCCTGTTCTAGTTTGTCTCTTCATTGCTGTGACAAAATACTCTGACCACTACCGACTTGGAGAGGAAAGGGTTTATTCAGCTTACATCTCCCAGGTTCATCAGGGAGCCCAAGGTAGGAACTCAGGGCAGGAACCTGGAGGCAGGAGCTGGAGCACAAGCCATAGAGGAATGCTACTTACTGACTGGCTTGCTTTCTTATGCAACATAGGCCCACCTGCCCAGGGGTGGCACCACCCACAGTAGGCTGGGCCCTCCCACATCACTCTTCAAGAAGATGCCACTCAGACATGGCCACAGGCCAGTCCAATAGAGGCAATTCCCTGATTGAGGCTCCCTCAACCCAAGTGTGTCAAGTTGACACTAAAGCTATCCAGTACACCTCCTCAAATCTGATCAATACCAATTTATTATGAAACCTAGTGAAAAGTATAACCATTACATACATATTAATTTTATTCTTAATTTCATTTTTCATTGAATTTTTGTGATTTTCATACAATATAGTTTGATGGTATTTATGTCGGGGCTCAGGTTTGCTTTGCTTAGTTGGGGACCCGCTGGCTTCGGGGCAGAGGGTCTGATTGGCGACAGAGTCAAACTCTGGGACCTGTGTCTTGCCAACAGGATAATTTATTTTTTAATTTAGATGGTTTTTATACGTCCCAAGGAACTAGCAGTCACATGGGCTATGGCAGTCACATACAAAGATTTAGGGTACAAAGAAACAGGACACTTAGTCTGTTAGTTGACACCATAAGGATTCTTATACTTTTACTCAAGGTTATCAATGCCCATCCAATAATTTATTGGCCACAATGTTTTCTTTCTTAGAGCTAAAAGCATGATGAACTTTTAGCTTTTAGCTCAGGAGTAAACCTTTGACCTGGCCTAATCTCTTAGCCAGGGATAGCTGAGTTATTTGTTCAGGACAAGGAGATGAGCTAAGGGTTGTTGATCAAGACGCTTTCCCACAGAGCAGGGAGCCTGCACTTTTATGACCAGGCCATTTCCTCCTGCCAGCCTAACAGTGTTCTGCAGGACAGGGATTATCAGAGCCACTATTTTTAGTGCCCTTCCCTTTAGCAGAGAATGCAGTCTGGACCTATAAGTTTTAGGATCACCTCACCCTAGGGCCTGGTATCCTGGTTTCCTACATATTTAGATACCCTCCCCTATCCACACCTCCCCTCACTGTCCCTACCCAACTTAATGCATTTTCAAAAGTAGATTAGAAATGATTGCCATATATCCTGATATTACAGAGCCTTCTTAAGGCACTTTTCATGTCCCTGTTCCTCAGGCTGTAGATGAAGGGATTCAGCATAGGGGTGACAACTGTGTATATCATTGAGGACACAGCATTGTTTCTAAATGAATCTGATATAGTGGTTCCGACATATATGCCAATCCCTGTTCCCAAAAATAAACAAACCACTGACAGATGAGACCCACAGGTAGAGAAAGCTTTATACCTCCCACCTGAGGATGGCATGCTCAGAATGGAAGAAATAATTTTATACTAAGAGAAAACAATCCCTGAGATGGGAAACATACCATATAGTATACCAACCAAATATTGAACTGTGTTATTTTTGAAGGTGTCAGAACAGGAAAGATTAAAGACCTGAGAAGCATCACAGAAGAAATTATCAATTTCCACATCCTTGAAATTCCTCATCTGTAATGCAATCAAAAGATGCAACTGGGTTTCCACAAAGGTAAAGAAAAAAGACATAAGAACTAAAACACAGAAGCGAGTATTCATGATAACTGAGAAATTCAAGGAATGGCAGGTGGCTACAAATTGGTCATAGACCATCACAGTCAGAAGCATGACATCCATACATCCAAAAATGATAAAAAGAGACATCTGGGTAAGGCAACCTGCATAGGAGATGACTGTGCTCTGACTTTGGATGTTCACAATTAACTTTGGAATGGTGGTGGAGATGAAGCCAATGTCAGGCCAGGACAGGGTGGAGAGGAAGAAGTACATGGGGGTGTGGAGGTGGCCATCAGTGCTGACAGCCAGGATGATGAGGACATTCCCAAGCACTGTAATCAGGTACATGGACAGAAACATTACAAATAGGACGGGCTGAAGTTCTGGGTCTTCAGAGAATCCCATGAGATAGAATTCTGAGACAAGAGTTAGATTTTGTGATTTTGTATTACTAGGACACCTTCAAAATCAGAAAGATCGGAAAAATGAAAATAATTAATAACATCACTTTGTAGTACACTGATCAATTTTTCAATAGATAAGTAGATATATACATACATATAATCAGATACAATGATGATACATATATAGTTTGTTATTTTTAATATTAGCTATCAGTATACTGGCCTGGATAGAGTTGAAGTTATGGTTTAGGCAATTTTCTTGCTTCAGCTTCCCAAGTGCTACAATTACAAGGGTTTTCCAACACATTGATTAACTTTACATACATGAGTCTGTGTGTGTGTGTTCTCTTGATGTTTGTTTTTGAGATTTTTTTATATTTCTATTTTGAAATGTGTTGCTTAATAGTGGTTGCTTCCTTTCTATTCTCCTGGCTCCTGCCCTGTGTTTACATCAGGATATATGCAAATAATTAAGGATTTGGAGCAAGGATCCACAAATGAGAGAGAATATGCATCATTTATTTTTCTGAGTCTGGGTTACCTCATTTAGTATAACAATTCCTAGTTCCATCCATTTACCCCAAAATTTCAAGATTTTATATTTCTTTATTGCTGAACAGAACTCCATTGTATAAATGTACCACATTTTCATTATTGGTTAATTGGCTGAGGGACATTTAAGTAGTTTCCATTTCCTAGCTATTGTGAAGAGAGCAGCAATTAACATGGCAGAGCAATGTCTCTACTATCTCTATAGTAGGAGGTAAAGTATTTGGGGTATATGCCAAGGAGTGGTATAGTTGGAGCATATGGTAAGGACAATATGGTAAATCTATTTTTAGCTTTTTTTTTGGTCTTTCTGGAACTCACTATGTAGACCAGGCTGGCCTCAAACTCACAGAGATCCACCTGCCTCAGCCTCCCGAGTGCTGGGACTAAAGGAATGAATTCTCCACATGCCCAGCCCTAAGTGACATATCTACAATGCAACTTCTACACCTAAGGCTGAGAGAACATAGAGAAAAAGGAGGCAGAGAGAATACTAATGAATCTCTCAATTATCACCAGGAAAACTACCTCATGCAACAGATGGTGATCAAGGCAGAAAATTACAACTGTCCAAAATACAGAGAAATAGAGACTTAGAAACTACAGACTGTATGTCCTCAGGTAGGACTCCTTTATTAAACTCCTGCCACCCAGGGCTCAGGGACCATTGTGGAAGAGGTGGCAGAAAGACTTAAAGACTTGATGACCAGAATGACCAGAAGAAAACATTTTCCAGGCTTCTGAGAACTTGCTCAAATGAACTTGCAGCAATGGTGACAGCATGTACAAGACCCATGTAGACTCAAACCAGATAAAAATCCAGCATAGACCTGGGGAAATGAGTAAGAAGCTCTACCTTAGCCAAGTAACTATTGCCACTGCTGGGTAAGGGAGAGTTGTTCTTCTTTAAGGGGGCGTCAGGCTGATCGGGTTTCAGTGGATGAACTCACATCAAGGGACGTCTGGGAACACAAACTTGACTTGATAGTTCTCAACATATATGACAGAATGCATGAAATCCAGCAGGGGAGGGTTTATAGGAGGGTGCAGATAAGGGAGGGGGCATAAACATGATTAAAATGTATTGTATGAAGTGCACAAGAATTCAGTTAAAAATAGAAAAAAGGGGAAACTTATTGTGTACTTAATGTGAATGACTGTCATCACCATCTACTCTATTACACACTCTTTCAAATAAATTCAATATAGTATTTCACTTATTAGCTGAGGGTCCTGATGGTAGCCATGTTCCTGCTAGAATAGACTGCAGAGAGCTAAACTGTGTAATTTCAGGTAAAGAAGAGGAAAAGGGGTGAACTGGGTAAGCTGAATATGTGCATGACAAGGTACTGAAATTTGTACAAAGAATGAGAAGGGAAAAAATAATTCTGAAATAAGAAATCAAATGAAGATAATTTAAAATCATAAAATCAATATCCACAGCACTTTGGTTCAGAAAGGATTTAGTGTTAAATTGATCTACGTGCTTGTAGTTCAAATAAAGTAATTTTCCTTATTTATTGTCTATCAATATCTGAAATGCTCACAATAAATAACTCATAAATATTTGATGAGGTGTATATACGTAACTTGATTTAAGTATTGTATCAGGAAAACATCATGTTACCCTGAAAAACATGTTACAAAGCATCATGTTATCCTACGGTAATATCATTTTTATGTTTTATGCATCATTTAAAACTAAATTGAACTTAAGTGAAGAAAATTAAATATAAAATTAAAAATGTAAACTGTGCTGCAGTGATTATACTTCAACTAAAAGAGTTCCAACGAGGGGCTGACTGGAGAGATGTCCCCATGGCTAAGAGCACTGGCTGCACATGCAGAGGACTCAAATTTGATTCCCAACACCCACAGAGTGACTAATAATCATCTTTAACTACAGTTCCAGAGGAATCTGATGTCTTCTGACCTTCTTGGGCATTGCATGACATGGATGCACTTACATACATGCAGGCAATACACTCAAACACAAAAAATTAAAATAATAAATAAAATATGTTTAAAAGAATTTCAACTAAAAAATGTTTTAATACTACTACTAAATTTTCATTAATTTTATTATATATGTTTATACATGTTTGCACTTATATGAGTGTGTTCATGTGTGTGCAGATGCACTTGTATGTTGTGTGCATACGGAGGCCCAGGCAGAACCTGAGCTGCAATATCCAGGTACTGTCCACCTTCCGTTTCCTTGAGACAGAGTCTGACACTGGCTGGAACTCAACAAGTAAGCTAGGCAGGCTAGGCAACAAGAAATAGGGATCTTTCTGTCCACTCCTCCCACCTTCCCAGGAAATGGATTATAAGCACATGCCACCATGCCAGCTTTTGTTAGTGTGGATTCTGGTAATTAAACTCAGGTCTTATGCTTACAAGGCAAGCACTCTACTGACTGCGCTATCTCCTCATCTCAGTTTTCCATAATTTGATACAGACAACATATTAAAACCACAAGAAACAACCAACATCTGTTTTGTCACTACAAAATATAGTTGAGTAAAGTAATAATGCACTCAGATGACAATTCTGAGTTTCAGAGATACTAATGAACTCTTCGATGCCACATGTAGTAAGTGGAGGTGACAGGATTAAATACTAAATTAGGAGATTCTATATGAGATGCACTGAACTCATTTATTGTTTCACAGACATTAGAAGATTCTGGACATCAGCAGAAATCTCAAAGTCTTAGCCACAGGAATATTCCAGGCATGTGTTTGAAAGTTCTCTAATTTACTAAGTAGGAACAGAGTCAAAATATGATATTGTGTGGGATAAAACAAACACAGAGGGAGAAAGTGGAAAGCTGCAAGAAAATCCAGGGTGACAAAAAGATAGTGACATGTGACCATGTGTCTACTCTTTCTGTGACCTTATCCTGTACTCTACAGCCATCAGTCATACAATGAAATCAGCTGCTTTGCTTTCTGATATACCAGGAATAGAGGGGTGAAAGGAAGAGGGAAGCATTCACATGTACACAGGGGCAGAGGTAGAGAGTGAGAGACAAAGACAGAAAGAGACACAGAGATATAAAGAGGAAGAGAGGGGAGGGAATGCTATTCAGGTAAAAGAAAGTGAAATTCTTGCTTGGTTTTCAAGGAAACAACCTCCCAGAATACACTTGATAACATGGTCTGAATTTGAAATCATATAAGCATATATGTAAGCACAGTTTTTTATGTAACACCCTCCTACAAGTTAGGATGTTCTGTATAACACCCTCCTACAAGCACAATAATGTGCTCTTTCATTTGTTGTAAAATAACAACAATAAGCCAAGCATGACAGAGCATGCCTGTACTCCCTGCACTTAAGAGCTATAGACAGGAAAATGAAGAGTTGAAGGTTATCCTGGGATATGTTAGTCCAATCTCAAAAAAAAAGTTGGCCTTTATAACTATTGGAAAATGTGACACATGAAATGAAAGAAGTTACATGGGACACACAACATTGCCTGGAATTTGGGAAGTTCTCAAGAACAGTTCATGGTGTTTTTCGAGAGTGCCACCCTCCTCATCTTCCTTATAACCACCATCATAATCCTTCTGACTTCTTGGGAATCAGTTTAGAAGGACCCATTTTCTGCTACTGTGGGGAAATTCTTATGAACAGTGTCTATGAAAATGCTTATGAATAGTGTAATTGAAAATAAATTTGAATACGGTTTCTGGGATTGTGATAAAGCCAAAGTCCCAAACTTTACATCCTTCATAAATGATATATTTTAAATCATCTGGACATAAAACTGTTAATTTTTCATCATGATGAGGAAATAACACTTGCATGTTCACTCCCCAGATACATGGGCCCCTCTACACTTACAAAGTTCTGTTGCTTCTGTTCTGGGTCATGACAAAGGAGGACAGATCCATGAAGCTTCCCAGTGGAAGCCTCAGTGTCATCAGGACTGATGAATAATGGGGTCAGATGGGGTCTTCCTTGTGCAAACAAGCAAGGAGAAGGAGATACACGTGGAGCCAGCTACACTGAATATATCAAACTCCAATCTAGACAGATGGGTTGGCTAATGACTAGTGTATGACTTTGGAGGCCCAATGCACAAAACTCCTAATTAGAAAAATTAGTCCATGTTATTGTTCTAACTCTCTAAGGATTTCCTGATATTAATGCAGGAGGAAGTGGAGAAAACAAATTTCATAGTTCTCAGGTGAATCTCATGTGGATGATTTATGTCTTTGATTCTATTGATTTTTAAAAATATTTTTATTGATTCACATTTTTGGGCAATGAACTTTTTTGGTTTTTGAGAAAGAATCCCCCTTTAGCCCC